GCTACAAAGTAGATTATCTTCAATAATAATATAAAATCTAGGCATAAAATCATTATAGGATTAACCTCAATGCAAAAAATCGCCCAAGAAATGCCACTCCTTGACAAAAGCCTAAACCCAAACAAAAAAAAAAAAAAAAATTATAAATAAACCAAACCAGAAAATAAAGTAATCTAAATCTAAAGCCTGCGTCTACTTAATCACCTCGAATGCGGGCGCACTTCTATCTGATGAGACGTCTTGATGGATGATGGGCATTGCATTGAAAATACCGAATGGTGTTCGGCCTCTACATAACGTGGATTACGCATGTTATTAATCACTTATGCACATTTAACAATTCTACGCGTCAAAGAAGTGCAATGCGAATGATGGTATTAATTTTATTTGTGGAGATTGTAATTAATGATCTTTGAAGTGTGCGGATCTTGTCGTTAAGAGTTTGTTCGGAATATTTTAGAGACAACCATAGGTATTATTGAATTTGTTGGACATTGAAATATGTAACTTATAAGCGTAAAGGATCGTTTCACCCGTATCAAGTTGCTTTAGCATTGAAACCTCATAGTAGAGTGAGTGTTATTTTTAACATATTTTGACAGTTAATTTCAAGCAAATTAAAATAAATTATACATCATTCGAAAGAGCCCTAAATTCTCTTTAAATCTGTGCAAAATTGAGCTCGATAGCTCGGATAGTTTTTGAGCAATTGAGCCTCAAAGTTGACTTTTAGTCCAAATTTTGTCAAAAATTTCAAACTCAATTTGCTCAAAAACTAGAAATCTGGAAATATTGTAAATTACAGGCCATTTAGAACTTGATAAAAGCTACAAATTCTTATGAAAAATTCGATTTTTTTATTTTTCAGTTTTGCTCAATTTTGACTTCATGAATCGATAGACCGAGTCAAAATTAGTGGAAAACAACCCTGATATCAATTCCAAATGGCCATTTTAAGCAGACACAAATATAAAAAGAAAATCCTATTTTTGGCTCTGGAAAATTTTCAAAATCTTGACATGGTCGTGAACAATAGCCCATATCTTTGGTAAATTTTGAGCAAATTGAAATAAATTTTACATTATTGGAAAGAGCCTCAAATTCTCTATAAATCTGTGCAAAATTGAGCTCGATACCTCGTATAGTTTTTGAGAAATTGAGCCTCAAAATTGACTTTTAGTCCAAATTTTGTCAAAAACTTCAAACTAAATCTGCTCAAAAACTAGAAATCCGGAAATATTGTAAATTACAGGCCATTTAAAACTTAGTGAAAGCTAGAAATTCTGGAAATTTTAATGCAATTTGCTCAACGGTTACCGAGCAATTGAGGTTTGAATATTTTGAAATCAGAATTCAAAGGGGGTACCCTTATGAAAAATTCGATTTTTTAATTTTTTAGTTTTGCTCAATTTTGACTTTATAAATCGATAGAGCGGGTCAAAATTAGTGGAAAATCACTCTGATATCAATTCCAAATGGCCATTTCTACCAGACACAAAAATAAAAAGAAAATCCTATTTTTGGCTTTGGAAAATTTTCAAAACCCTGACATGGTCATGAACAATATTGCCCATATCTTTGGTAAATTTTGAGCAAATTGAAATAAATTATACATCATTGGAAAAAGCCTTAAATTATCTATAAATCTGTGTAAAATTGAGCTCGATAGCTCGGATAGTTTTTGAGCAATTGAGCCTCAAAGTTGACTTTTAGTCCAAACTTTGTCAAAAACTTCAAACTCAATTTGCTCAAAAACTAGAAATCTGGAAATATTGTTAATTACAGGCCATTCAGAATTTGATAAAAGTTACAAATTTTGGAAATTTCCATGCAATTTGCTCAACGGTTACCGAGCAATTGAGGTTTGAATATTTTGAAATCAGAATTCAAAGGGGGTACCCTTATGAAAAATTCGATTTTTTTTATTTTTTAGTTTTGCTCAATTTTGACATCATGAATTGATAGAGCGTGTGCAAATTAGTGGAAAGCAACCCCGATATCAATTCCAAATGGCCATTTTAAGCAGACACAAAAATAAAAAGAAAATCCTATTTTTGGCTCTGGAAATTTTTCAAAATCCTGACATTGTCATGAACAATTGCCCATATCTTTGGTGAATTTTGAGAAAATTGAAATAAGTTATCCATCATTGGAAAGAGCTTTAAATTCTCTATAAGTCTGTGCAAAATTGAGCTCGATAATAGCTCGGATAGTTTTTGAGCAATTGAGACTCAAAGTTGACTTTTAGTCCAAATTTTGTCAAAAACTTCAAATTCAATTTCCTTAAAAGCTAGAAATCTAGAAAAATTGTAAATTACTGGCCATTTAGAACTTGATAACAGCTACAAATTCTGGAAATTTTAATGCAATTTGTTCAACGGTTACCGAGCAATTGAGGTTTGAATATTTTGAAATCAGAATTTAAAGGGGTTACCCTTATGAAAAATTCAATTTTTTAATTTTTTAGTTATGCTCAATTTTGACTTCATGAATCGATAGAGCGGGTCAACATTAGTGGAAAACAACCCTGATATCAATTTCAAATGGCCATTTTAAGCCGACACAAGAATAAAAAGAAAATCCTATTTTTGACTCTGGAAATTTTTCAAAATCCTGACATTGTCATGGACAATTCCCCATATCTTTGGTGAATTTTGAGCAAATTGAAATAAGTTATCCATCATTGGAAAGAGCTTTAAATTCTCTATAAGTTAGCGCAAAATTGAGCTCGATAATAGCTCGGATAGTTTTTGAGCAATTGAGCCTCAAAGTTGACTTTTAGTCCAAATTTTGTCAAAAACTTCAAATTCAATTTCCTTAAAAGCTAGAAATCTGGAAAAATTGTAAATTACAGGCCATTTAGAACTTGATAAAAGCTACAAATTCTGGAAATTTTAATGGAATTTGCTCAACGGTTACCGAGCTATTGAGGTTTGAATATTTTGAAATCAGAATTTGAAGGGGTTACCCTTATGAAAAATTCAATTTTTTTATTTTTTAGTTTTGCTCAATTTTGACTCCATGAATCGATAGAGCGAGTCAAAATTAGTGGAAAACAACCCTGATATCAATTTCAAATGGCCATTTTAAGCCGACACAAGAATAAAAAGAAAATGCTATTTTTGACTCAGGAAAATTTTCAAAATCCTGACATTGTCATGAATAATTGCCCATATCTTTGGTAAATTTTGAGCAAATTAAATTAAATTATACATCATTGGGAAGAGCCTTAAATTCTCTATAAATCTGTACAAAATTGAGTTCGCTACCTCGAAATAGTTTTTCAGCAATTGAGCCTCAAAGTTGACTTTTAATCCAAATTTTGTCAAAAATTTCAAACTCAATTTGCTCAAAAACTAGAAATCTGGAAATATTGTTAATTACAGGCCATTCAGAACTTGATCAAAGCTACAAATTCTGGAAATTTTAATGCAATTTGCTCAACAATTACCGAGCAATTGAGGTTTGAATATTTTGAAATCAAAATTCAAAGGGGGTAGGTACCCTTATGAAAAATTCGATTTTTTTATTTTTCAGTTTTGCTCAATTTTGACTTTATGGATCGATAGAGCGGGTCAAAATTAGTGAAAAACAATCCTGATATCAATTTCAAATGGCCATTTTAAGCAGACACAAAAATAAAAAGATAATCCTATTTTTGGTTCTGGAAAATTTTCAAAATCCTGACATGTTCATGAACAACTGCCCATATCTTTGGTAAATTTTGAGCAAATTGAAATAAATTATACATCATTGGAAAGAGCCTTAAATTCTCTTTAAATCTGTACAAAATTGAGCTCGATAGCTCGGATAGTTTTTGAGCCTCAAAGTTGACTTCCAGTCCAAATTTTGTTAAAAACTTCAAACTCAATTTGCTCAAAAACTAGAAATCCGGAAATATTGTGAATTACAGGCCATTTAGAACTTGATGAAAGCTATAAATTCTGGAAATTTTAATGCAATTTGCTCAACGGTTACCGAGCAATTGAGGTTTGAATATTTTGAAATCAGAATTCAAAGGGGGAGCCTTAAATTCTCTATAAATCTGTGCAAAATTGAGCTCGATACTTCGGATAGTTTTTGAGCAATTCTCTCTCACAAGAGTCTCTGACAGTTTGCGAAACATTTAATATCCTTCAAAGCAAAGTGGAAATTGTATGTATGTCACCAAAGTAAATAATAAATACCATTTCAATTTGAGTCAACTTAATATGTTATTCAAAGATTGTAACCAGCATATTCAAATCCATGGTACAGTAAATCCTTAAAAAACCCTAGCTTACTTGAAGAAATTGTTACTTTACTGTATATTATTAGACTACTTATTTATTTAATTGAAATATTCAATAATCCATTCTGATTTATCGATACCAGAACTTCAAAACGGTCAATAATAATAAATAAATAAATCAATTTCAAAATCGTTATAATAAGCCGATAATTTCACCGGCGCACTTATCTGGATCACGCGTTTTCCTAATAATTAGGTACCCGGTAATTTTTTTTTTAAACTACCTTAATCTCCGGTAGCTCGGTTTTAACTTAGCGAAGAAGCTTAATGACTTCGTTAAATGCAGACGCAAACATAGTTCCATTATAATTAGATGATTACATGTAATTCCCTTAACGGTAATTGCTAACTTCCACCGCCAGGGCAAATATGAAGCTGGATAATTTCACTTGAATATTGTAATATTGCACAAATTCTATTTCGGCAAAAAAAAATTGCAAATCTCTCTACCCATTAGGATTATTATCCAATCAATCTGACATGCTAAGATTGCCCAATTTATCCCGCTATTACCTCCTGCATCTACCTACCTTTTACATGGTGAGAAACGAAATCTCCACTGATATTCACGTCTTAAACTTATAATTAGTCAAAAACGAAAAATACAAACGCGCCACACCCACACGCCGGCCGTTTCAGATGGGAATAATGTTGGCGCCATACAGGATATAGTTTGTAGTTTTGGCAAACAATCAAAAACCTTTTAAAACATGCTGTTTTTGTAATCTTGCATTAAATATTGACTTTTTTTTCTGTTTCAGCATACCCATGATGAACCATACAAAAATGGAACTGAGGTTAATAATAAGGTAAGCAATATCAATCAAGTTGCGGAGATTTTCAAAAAATATTTTCTTTCAATTAAATAAAAATACACGGGTTTATTTACACATACACGTAACTCTCAGCTCTGATATTATCCACCTGTTAGTTAAGCTCGTTAATTATAGACTATTGATTTCCGTATTTAGCGAATACCTTATTTTACGGTTTGGCTGTATATTAACTGTTGGTATTCGACAAATTGATAAATTGAATAGATTAACGGAAGGTGTGCATTTATCGGGTTCCATATAAAGTACTAATTATAATAATTTGTTGAGGTACACGTATAGTAGGTTGATTTTTTGCAATGTTTATGTAGGCAAGGTTGCGTATAGTTTGCAAATTGGATATTGAATTGATAGAGCTTCTTTTGCGGAATTACCTACGATTTCCTATATCAGTAATGCGAAATCAGGACATTCATGGCTTTTTCCAATAAAAAAAATCAGTAACTGGCTTTCAGAAGTAGTGAGAAACAGAATTTGATTTTGAAAAGGTTGAAATTAATTGAGATTGAAAGCATATTCAAATGAGTGAGAAATCATTCCATAACACAAGATTTAAACATAGAATTGGAACAAAATTACCCAACTTTCGTTCAATTGAATGTTCTGAAGGTATGATTGGTAATAATAGCAATGTCAGCACAATACTTGCGTTATTGCTTCATAAAACAATGGAGACAATAATTCTCGATAATTATTGGATGCTGCGCTAATTGGGTACCTGTTACGAGCTAATTAACTCTCGTCAGTTTTTCCCAGGGAAAATCTTTCTTTGGTGCATGTAATATAAGACTGTCATTCTTTGTCAACCTCTATCGATCAGCTCCTGGATGTAGGTCTCTCCTAATTGTTTCTATCTTTCTCTATCCTTGGCCAATTTCATCCACTGTTTGCCTGCCACTGTCCTTATGTCGTCCAACCATCTTTTTTGTGGTCTTCCCGTGCTTCTTGTTGTCTCCCTTGGTCTCCATTCCAGGATTCTTCATGTCAATCTGTCGTCATTGTATCTTGCTATGTGGCCAGCCCATCGCCATTTCATCTTTGCTAACTCCTCCACAATGTCCCTGACGTTTTGCGTCTTGTCGGTATTTATAATTTTGTCTTTAAGTAATATTCCAAGCATGTTTCCTTCTATCACTCTTTGGGTGGTTTCTAATTTTTACCGGACTTTTTGGCGAAGGACATAATCTCTAATCCGTAAGTACACACCGTTAATATGCAAGTGGCGTATACTTTTCTTTTCAGGTTTATGGGAATGGATTTTTTTGTTGAAGATGTATTTTAGCGAAAACGACCCATGTTAGTTGTGCTCTTCTTTTTATTTCATCATCCTGATTCGGTTTCTTTAGGCGTGATTTCATGCCCCAAGTATATACAGTGTTTGTTTCTATCCTCTAATTCTGTATTGCTTTATTTCTCTCTTCCTGTCTCATTATTTTTGTTTTGCTATAGTTCATTTTGAAGCCTACAGTTGCGAATACGTCATTTAGCTGTCGGTTATCTTTTGCTATTAGAACTATGTCACAGCTTACTATGTCATCGGCAAATCTAAGATGATCCAAGTATACTCCGTCAATGTTTATACCCATTTTAGTTTCTTGAAAAGGACCAGGGTGAACAGTTTGGGCAAGACAGTGTCTCCTTCCCTCACTTCCCTTTGTGGTTTTATGGGGATCGTTTTTGGCTTGTCATCCAGTTTTATTTCCATGGTTGCAATTCCATGGTATCGGGTCTTCAAAAAAAAAAACAATCAAAGATTGCTTTGGTTACGAAAACGTACGTCACATTATTGTTTTTTTATTGGTCAAGATTTTTGACATGAGATTTTGACATTAAAGTTCATTGACAAAATTAAAGAAAAATATTGCTAAGACATACGTTCAAAAAACCATAGCAATCTTTGATTGTTTTTTTTTTTTGAAGACCCGATATATTAGGATTGGGAATAACGGCTGGATTTTTTAAATAGAATTTCTGGACACAAAAGTTACATCAGATTAGAAAAAGACTCATCAGCTATTAGTGAACATTCTTATATAACAGGACACAATATAAATTTCAATGAAGCTAAAATTTTACACCAACAAACAAATTTAAACAAAAGACTTTTCCTTGAGATGGTTGAAATTAACAAAGAAAAAAATTCAATGAACAAAAGAACAGATATTCAAGATTTAAGTTCCATATATTCATATATTTTAACAATTTAAAAAATAAACCCGTAATTATAACCTTTACCTTAACTATTAAAAAAACCAGAAATGAAAAACTTAAAATTAAACATAGATAGCACAAAATTTACCTATAACAAAAGACTTTGTTTTAACAACCAAAAAATTTTTCAAAAAAACTTTACAATTCTAACTTTATAGTCGTTATACAAATTTTATACTTATCTATGCAGTTTTTATTTTAAATAATTCATTTACAAGTAAGTCACAATTTTGTTATTTTATAATTTTAACTTATATAATTTTAGCCCTGAAGAAGATACAAAAAAGTATCGAAAGCTTGGTTTGTAATAAAGAATTATTTTAGAAAAATAAACTTGTTTGGCTGCTTTACCCGATATCTAAAGAAGAAAACCTGATATATTCTTTATGATTTTTGTGTATCTTGAATCGATTTTCAGGTTTTCTAAGGATTCTGATACTGCCCATATTTCGACGGAGTCGAATGCTTTCTGGAAATCAACGAAGACCACATGGGGTATGGTATACTCGGTGCTCTATATTATTTTCCTTATGGTGTGTGGTGTTTTCTGAATCTAGCCTGTTCGATAGGTTAGTAGAAGTCGAGTTTATTCGTTATGCGGTTGGTTATGATGTTGGTAAACACGTTGTAGAGATGAAATAGTGAAGATATTGGTAGGTAATTTTCAATACTTGCTCCCTTTTGGAATATTTAGATAACTTCGGAGTTATAGCCATGTTGTCGGATCTTTCCTTCGTGGATTATTTTATCAAAAGGAATTTTGAGTGTATGTTCTATTATTTTTCAGTCCCCAATATTCAGCAACTCTAATGTGATTCTCTCTAGCGCATTTATTGTTTTTTCCTTTTTTATTTAGGAGTTCGTTATTTCTGGTATGCCTTCTGAGACTATGTTGAGTATAGTTCTTTCAGGTCGTTATTGTTGTGTGCGTGACAGTGTGGCGAGTACACTTTGGTGTAGAATTCTTCCATGGTTTCAGTTATTTTCTTTCTCTCTTGGACGGTCACGTGTTTCTCGTTTTATATTTTCATTATTCTTGTTCTCCCTATTGTTTTTTTGTTTTTAGTACTTTTATGTTGCAGTTTTCACTTATTGTATCTTTTATTAGTTTGTTGGAATAGTTTCTATTGTTTTTTTTAATTTTCTTTTTCACTTCCTTGTTTAGAGTTTTGAAACTGTCTGTTGTTCGTTCCGTCCTTTTTGCGTCTTACTTTGAGACGTTTCAAAGTATTAGATTGTAGGTTACAGGTTTCTTCATTTTGAGTAGACTTTTTAAATCAATGTGTTTATGGTGTTACCCCTTTTGTTAGCAAATTAACAGGAGGCCATGAATGCTCAGTTTGCTCAGCGAATAATAGGGGTGAATTATTAGTTTAATGAGTACAAAATGGCAAGGGCGCCACTGAAATAAATAAATAAATTACATAAAATATTGAAGTGTGAAAATTCAGAAACACACCTAAAAAAAAATCAGTCGGGTTCCTAATTGATAATTTGAAAAGGTAATAAATAGGGCATATGACTCAACCAAATCTTGACATAGGTAAAACCAATGAAACACTCGAGCAATTTTCAAATCAAAATACTATATATTTTCACAGAGAAGTTAAAGATCAACAATTAAATAATTTTAAAAGATAAAATCAATTGTTGGTGAAACACTTTAAATAAAATCAATAAATAGAGGTTAGTTCTCAATCAGATTCATCAAATTCCAGAAAAAGTAATATTACAATGTAACTCAATATCACTGGCCATTTCATCATCATGAAATGAAAATATAAAAGATTTACGTTTCCGGAAAACTAATAAAAAATTTGAAAAAATGATTGAAAATTGTATTGATAAATATGGTCAGCTTCTGTTTGAAGAATAAATTCTATAAAATCAACTTGAACCTGTATGAAATCGAAAGTTGGGTTAAATGGTCAGGAGATATAATAGAAGTATAGGACCCAAGTTAAAAATTGAACAATTTTCAACGATGTAGGTACTTACTCAATAATTTTAAAATTAGAACATGTTGTCCAACCTTGACTTCAGTTCACATTACTGATTATCATTGATAAAATATAAGTACATTCTTTAAATATGGCGGTATTAAAAGTTAAGTAAAGATAAATTCTATAGTAAATACGGTAAATCAAAAATCGGAAATAATTATTTAAAGTTCACTTCGGTGTCAAGATTGTGAAATTGAAATTTCAAATATTCAAATTTCATATCAGGAATTCCTCTAGGAAATCACCTCAAGGGCTCTATGCCCAGATGTGGGCTTGTTGAAAATGGATTCCTTGAGAAAAACGGAACCTCGGAAAAACGGCCCCTCCGAAAACCCTAAGTAATAGAGGCATTCCATGAACAACCATTACTTTGGAAAAACTAAAAAGGAGTTACCACGAGGAGGTTCGAAATTCAAACTTGAATAAAACGGTAATTACGAGACTTATGATATAATTTTTTTCGGTAATCAACGGAACTTTGCTTTGCGGAACTTTATTTCGCCAAGCTAATGCCTGACGGCCGATAAGGTACTTTTCTTCACGAGAGCGGTAAGATGGCTGCCCCCCAGGCCAGAGTCGACCTTTCAGGCGAACGACAAAATTTAAAACGGACGTAGAAAAGACAAGCTGAACAAGCAGAGCTTTCCTTTAAAAAAAAGCCAACGGAAAGTCTTCGTACCAAACTGGTACTTCAAATTTTAACGAAAAGCGTGCCCTCTAGGTAAATGCTTGCTATTATTATTTTCGACAGAAATCTTCTTT